GACGGCAGGTCCTGGGTCCCCCATGTTTCCTCTAAATTCGGCTCAGAAACACAGCCATTCCCGCTTTGGCTCGTCTCTCTCTCTCTCTCTCTGTGTAATCATAAGCAGCTAGACCAAACCAGCTGGATCCTCTGACATTCTGCCTGGAAGTTTGCCCGGCCAGACCCCCCGGCTCACGAGCTGCCCTCCCCTCTTCCACTCCCTGGGTACCAGGGGCCGTCTTTCCTCCATAAATGACCCTCGCTGTCCTTCAGGCCATCCCCACAGTCCCCTGGCCTTGATGTCCTTCCAGCCATTCCCCCACTCCCCAAACCAGTCACCCCATTTGGAGTTTCTGTGTCAGCAGTGCCCCACTTCTGGGTACCACACTGTGTTCTAGCGTCCACTGCGATGTATGAACCACCCCAGACATGGTGGCTGGAAACACCCGTTTATTTTGCTCCTGGTCTTGTGGGTCAGAAGTTTGGATGGGGCTCAGCAGGGCAGTTTCTCTTGTATCCATGTGGGTTGGCTGTGGCGGCCACTCCCCAGGTGGCCTGCTCACTCATGCGCCCAGCTCCTTGGTGCTCCTTGGTCTTTGCTTCTCTGCACGAAGACCTGGGAGTCTCACGGCATGGCTGGGGGTGAGGGTCTCACGTGGCAGCTGGTCCCCCGTAGGGTGAGCTTTCCAAGGGAGCAGGCAGGGCTGCAGGGCCTCAGAAGGAAGATGTCACTTCCACCACACCCTGTTGGTCAAGCAAGTCACTGAAGCGGGTGCCGGCTCCAGGGGGCAGGGACATTAGCCCCCATTTCTCCAGGGAGGAGAAGCAAAGATAAATTTCCATCTTGATTCTGCTATGGTCCTGAAACCCTGTGCCCTCCGGCGCTGCTCTTTTCTTCCCAGGCCCTCCAATGGGTGCCAGCTGCCCCAGCCTCTCTTTGCTTCTGGGGCCCGAGTCCCCACCTGGAGGACAATAGGGGTGGCTCCCTCTAGGCCTCCGAGCCTGGGTCTTCGGATGGGCGAAACCCAGCCGGTTCCTCCCAACCTGGAAGCTCCACACCCCTAAGTGTCTACACGGCAGCCCATGGACAGGAGAATGAGCAGGTAGACAGGACTTGGAGAGGCACGGGGGTGGGGGCGAGGAGGCTGGGGGTCGTAAGGATGAGCAGGCGGCTTCGGGAGGAGGTCCAGGGGTCTCACAGGTGAGGAGCGGGTGGGGCTGGAAGAAGCCGGGCATTACACAGCTGGTGCTTCGAGTCTCCAGTGGGTTGAATGGTGTAGTGGTGGTGGAGCGGAGCCGAAATAGTATCCACGTTCCAAATGACTTCGGATTGTTGAAAGCGCACACGGCGGGAGGAAGCGGGTGGAGGCGGTGGCTGCCGCTAAGCAGTCGTGTGCCTGTGACTGAGCCCCGAGAGGACTCCGTAGCAACAGGGTGCTGCTGTGCGGGCGGATCTCCCGGCTCTTCTGGGGGTGGGGGCTGTGGGGTGGGGGCCCCAGTGCCTCCTGCCTCCCACCCACCCCTGCCGTCCCGGCTCCTGAAACCCTGTCCTGGGCCTGCCCCAGGGAGCCCATGGTCGCTGGAGGTGGGGCCTAGATAGCCGCCAGAACTGGCGAGGTGCACCCCCTGGCTTGAGGGGGTGCTTAAGGCTGCAGCCCCACCCCTGAGGCCAGCCGAGGGAGCTGAGGGTGGAGGCTCCCGGCTGTGGGCCCCCCAGCTGCCTGCCTGACTGGTCCAGTGCCCTCACAACACCCAGCTCCAGCCACCAACCTCAAGGGTCACTCCCCAGTCTCCCATCCACTTCCACCCTGCTGCAGACTTGATTCATCCACTCCTGGCCGGGACCGGCTGCTCCTGGCCAAGCCCCAGCCCCAGGGGGCCTCCACCCCGGGCGAGACCATACCCCTCCTCCCCAGCCCCTCAGTGGCCCCGTAGACGGAGGTCCTGGGAGGGAAGAGGGCACAGCAGCATCCTGCAGCGATGGAGGGCTCCAGTTCCCCACCGCCCCCACCACCGGGAGGGGAGACCAGGGCAAGGGCAGGTGCGGTGGCCGCCCTCCTGCGCTCAGACCCTGGGGCTCTGCCTGTGGTCACTGTCCTGCAGGCAGCTGTGTGGCTGGCAGATGTGGGTTGGCTGGGGATAGCCTTCCTCCTGGAGCCTGCACCCACCTCCCTCGGGGTGGGGAGGGGACACAGAGGCTGCGTGGCCACAGCTGCTGAGGCCGCCACCTCCTCGGGGAGCAGCAGCCGGAAAAGGCTTCTTTCTTCCTTCCTTTTTCTTTGTTTCCTTCCATTTCCACTAAAAGAAAAAAATTGCTCAGAGATGATTTAGAGCTTTTTGCTAAAAGTGCACTTTATCATCAGAAAGAGAAGGAGATTATAGTGATCCCAGTTGCAGCCCCCTCCCGGCCCCAGGCATGTTTCCAGCACGTCCACCAGCAGCTGCCTCCGTCTCAGCCGAGGCTGCAGCTCTCTCTGCCCTGGCCGCCTCAGGCCACCACAGGCACTGCCAGGACAGACACCCCTCCTGCCCACGCTCCCCGTTCACCCGGAGGCACCTTCCGCCCAGGCCCCTCCAGTTGGTTGTGGGGCGTCTTGAAATGGGACGAGGCCTCGGGAGTCCTGGGTCAGCCGCGGGGGCATCTGTGTGGGAGAGGCAGCTGCCGGCTCCTGGCCGTGATGGGGCGCCCTGCTCCCCACTTCTACCCGCAACATGAACCTGGGGACAGCCCTTCCTAGGACGGAAGGGCCCTGGGTGGCTGTGGGACTCAGTTTGGGACACTCCCCTCCAGCCCATTAGGCCCCAAAGAGCACTTTCCATGCTCCTCCTCCTCTGTTGTCCCTGTCCCTGTCCTCAGCCCCTCAGGAGGGAATTGCCAACTGTCATGTTAAAATTCCAGCCGCAGCCGCCTCAGCCGCCTCAGCCAGCTGCTGAGACGTCCACCCTCCTGACGAGAAACCTCACGCGGAAGGCCTTCCTGACTCAGCGTCCCAGCCGCGCAGCGCGGCTTCCTACAGCCAGCAGTGTGCGCAGCAGGGGAGGTCCCGCAGCTGCGGGGCACAGGAAACTGCCAGCCGCCCCCTCCACGCCCAGCCGTCTCCGCATGTCCCAGGACGGGCAGCACAGGCCTTGCCGACTCCCACCTGCGGAGCATCTTCTGCCACCAGACTGGCTAAAGATGCCGTTTGAAGGCTGGGCCCGTGGTATGGCTGCGAGGAGGCCAGCAGGCAGCCACATGACACCACCGGCCAGGCCCGGAGGCCCCACCCGGCACAGCTGGTCCTTCAACTCTCCGGTGGGTTGAATGGTGCCCTCCTCCCCCAATAAAATATGTCCACACCCTAAGCCCTGGCACTTTTAGACGCAACCCTATTTGGAAAAAGGGTCTTTACAGATGTAATTAAGGATCTTGAGGTGAGGTCATGCTGGATTATCTGGGTGGGCCTCAGACTCAACGACTGGTGTCCATATAAGCGAGGGGCAGAGGGAGACTTGAGACAGAAAGAGGCTGTGTGAAGACGGAGGCAGAGGTTGGAGTGACACGGCCATGAGCGCAGCAGCCCCTGGAGCCACCTGAGGCCGGAAGGGCAGGAAGGAGGCTGCCCAGAGCCTTTGGAGGGAGCAAGGCCCAGGGGACGCCCTGATGGACTTCCGGCCTCCAGACCCTCAACAAATCTCTGTTGTTTGAAGCCCCTGCCTGAGGTCATTTGTGACGGCAGCCCCGGGAAGCTGGCTCAGATGTGGGCCTGGAGCTCCAGCCACCTCCTGCCCTGCCTGTCCTGCTCTCCTGGGGCCCGCGGTGGCAGGATGGAGGCACCCAGTGAGGAGGCAAGGGAGAGGGCCAGCCGGCCGGGTGAATGAAGGTGTGGGGTGGAGGGACAGTCCAGAGTGAGGCGGCCCTGGCCGCTGCGGGACCCACGGTCCAGGCCGTCCCAAGCCAGGCGTAGGGCTGGAGCCGCTGTGGCTTGACAACCTCACTGTCCTACCCTTCTAGTCCCTTCTGGAGACACACATTTTGAAGACCTACTGGGTGCTGACTGGCACTTGGAAGTTTGCAAATGTCGTGTCCCGCCTTGGGCAGCCCTCAGAGGCTGGCCTCAGCGCCCCCTTTGCAGGTGAGGCCGTGAGCCCAAGGCCACACGGGCTGGGAAGTGTGGGCCTGGGTTTGGACCCAGGATCCCAACACATGTTTCTCAGCCTCCAGGAAGGCATCGCTCAGTTCTGCGGCCCAGAAGTCCCGGCCTTGGACGAGCTCCAGCAGATCCAGTGCTGATGGCGGGAGGGAGGTGCAGCCGTGCAGAGGGAGCCCCGGCGGCCGGGTCAGTGCAGATCCCGGTTCAGGAGTCCCCATGCACCCTGCGTGCAAGTCCCGGACGCCACACGCCATGGGACACGCTCGGCCCAGGGCCACCTTCCTCCGGCTGTGAGAAGTTCTGCTTCCTTTGAGCAGGACCGTGAGGACTTCCCACGCGGAAGCTTCTGTCAAGCTTCACACTGGACTCAGCATGTTCCCCATGCAGCGCAGAGTGACCAGGGGCCCCAGGACACTCCCACAGGCGGAGAGCGTCCTGGTGACTGCCTGGGGTAGATGAGGGACTGGGTTCCAGGGTGCCAAGGCCTCCTTGAAGTCTGGATGTGACAACCTGGGATGCTGGCCCAGAGGCTTTGACGAGCACAGAGACTAAAAGCAGTGTTGGGAGGACGTTCTCACAACTTACAGCCATCAGCGTGGAAGCAGACATGCCCAAAACCTGAGCAAGTTACACTCTGTGTGGAGAGCAGGGCAGCGGCTCTGCGCTCACCGCACTGCCTTCAGAGGCACTGGGGAGCCATCGATGGCTTTTGAGCACAGGAGCGGCCACGATGGTCAGTTTAGCGCTGGCTGGACCAGTTTGAGTGGAATGACCCTGGTGTTGGGCTTGGCGCTCCTGGCTGCCGTGAGGACTGGAAGATGGAGCCCGGCATGTTCTTCTTGCTTCAGAACCCCAGCCCAACCTTCTAGAATCTCAACGGCAGAGAGGAAGGCCTGCCACCAGGAATGTGACCTTCACAGGGAGTCTCCAACAACCCTGGGAGCAGCGCCTCGTCATCTGCATTGGTCAGATGTAGACAAGAGGTTCTGAGGGTCTGGGGTTTCCCAAAAAGCCACAGCTGGGAGGGAGGGGAGCTGGGTGCAGGTTGGGGGTGCAGGCTCCTGGCCCCCTCCAGCTCCCTCCTCCTGGGGGCCCTCCCTCTCCTTCCCCACCCGCCCAGCCCCCTGACCTGGGCGCGAGATGCTCCTCCGTGGGCACTGGGGCCTCAGTCCCCGACTCCCGAGGACCCACGCGTGGGCCCTTGGCCAGTGCTGGAGCCGGGAGGGCAGTAGCTGCACTGGACGCCTGCGTCTGGGGGGCATGGGGGCGCATTTTGTCCATGGCTGTGTCTTAAATTCGCTGTTTCCCCTCTGGCTGGAACTCACTCTGCCTCATGTCCTTGAGGTGCACACGCTGCCCCAGGCCTTGGGATGGACGTCCACTGAGTGAGGTCCAGCGAGTCCACCCCTGGCCCCTGTGTCACAGGCCGGGAGAGCAGGGCCCCTGGGTCCAACTGGGCTGGAACATTTGGGAGCTGGCAGTGCTGGGCCCAGGCTCGAGGGTGGGCACTGCCTGTCCCAACAGCTCTGCCTGCCGTCAGCGCCCCTTCGGCCCTGACCTGCAGCCCCGTGCCCTTCGCAGGTCGGGGGTGGCTGGCTCTGGGCTAGCCGCCCTCCAACCCCACGCCTTCCACAGCTCCAGCTACAACAGCAGGGATCATTCCTGGAGGCCCTGCTGTGAAATACGGCTTTTCAGACCACAGGCCCAGTGGGGAGCGTCCGGCCACACCCCCACCTGGATCCCAGGGGGCCTTTCTCAGCCGAGCCGTCTGCCCCGATGCTGCCTCACACCCCCAGAGTCCAGGCAGGTGGGACTCTGTGCCAACCGCCCAGCACCCCGACCAGCTGGGCTCCCCTAGGCTCTCCCAGGCGGCGCCCTCCCTCCAGCTCTGAGCCTGAGCCTCTCTTGGCTGAACAGCTGGTCCTGTGTCCTGAGTCTGTCTCCCCTGCTCGGGGGCCCTGGCACAGAAAGTTGGGAGCACAGGAAGTTGGGGAGCACTAGAAGTTAGGAGCATAGGAAGTCAGGGAGCACAGGAAGTCAGGGAGCACAGTAAGTTGGGGAGTATAGGAAATTGGGGAGCACAGGAAGTTGGGAGCACAGGAAATTGGGGAGCACAGGAAGCGGGGAGCACAGGAAATTGGGGAGCACAGGAAGTGGGGAGCACAGGAAGTTGGGAGCACAGAAGTTGGGGGCACAGAAGTTGGGAGCACAGGAAGTTGGGGAGTACAGGAAGTTGGGGAGCACAGTAAATTGGGGGCACAGTAAGTTGGGGAGTACAGGAAATTGGGGAGCACAGGAAGTTGGGAGCACAAGAAATTGGGGAGCACAGGAAGTGGGGAGCACAGGAAGTTGGGAGCACAGAAGTTGGGGGCACAGAAAGTTGGAGAGCACAGGAAGTTGGGAGCACAAGAAATTGGGGAGCACAGGAAGTGGGGAGCACAGGAAGTTGGGAGCACAGAAGTTGGGGGCACAGAAAGTTGGAGAGCACAGGAAGTTGGGAGCACAGAAGTTGGGGAGTACAGGAAGTTGGGGAGCACAGGAAGTTGGGGAGTACAGGAAGTTGGGGAGCACAGGAAGTTGGGGAGTACAGGAAGTTAGGGAGTACAGGAAGTTGGGAGCACAGAAGTTGGGGGCACAGAAAGTTGGAGAGCACACAAAGTTGGGAGCACAGGAAATTAGAGAGCACAGGAAGTTGGGAGCACAGGAAGTTGGGGAGTACAGGAAGTTAGGGAGTACAGGAAGTTGGGAGCACAGGAAGTTGGGAAGCAGGGCGTGAATCCCAGGTGCCCTCACCCCTTGGCCTTCTTTTGGGTCTGAGCACCCTCATGGGGGCTGCGTTGCTTTTCAAGATCTGAGTGCCAGGGTCCCTGGGGGAGGAGCATCAGACTGCAGCCCACTTCTGCCTTCTCTCCTCTGGGGCCCCGAGTGCCTGGGCTGGAGTTCAGTCTTCTCAGGAAAACATGGGGCTTTCCTGTAACATCTCCTGAAATCATGGAAACCAGGTCCTTCAATGTACAGATGGGAAACTGAGGCCCAGAGCTGGGAGGGGACCTGCCACGGCCCCCCAGGGGTCAGGGTGGAGCTGCCTGGGCCCCATCCTTGCTCCCGGCCAGGCCTCCGGCCCCTCTGGCGTGCCCCTCCCCGTCTGGCCTCCCCAGGCCGGGCAGTGGTCCATCTGGGGGATGGAGCCCTGGTCACTCCTCAGCGTTTGCCTTGGCCTGGGTGTAACCGCAGGCCCCCCAGGACCGGTTCCACTGAGCCCATCTCTCCTCAGCAGACAGATTAAGAGTTGCCTTTCCGAAAACCTGCCAAGTCACGCAGCCAGGGCATGGGCAAAGAAGAAACCGTGACCTGACACGACCTCGGAAGTAAAGGTCCTCCTCCCCATGGAACCCAAGGACCCGGACACAACGAACCTGAAAGTTGGACTCTCATCCGAAACGAGGGGCCCCTCATTCAGGAAGATCCGGTGTGAAAATCCCTTCTCCACCCCATCATAAATGTTTAGAACTTTACCACACATGCTTGAAGTCCACCAGTCAAAGCCTGCCCCGCCAGCGCGTCTGCGTCCAGCCTGTGCTCCCCAACCTCTTCTATTTCACCCCAAATCCTGAATCGGGAGACAGATCTGGGGGCACACCTCCCGTCTCCCTGCAGACCCGTCTCTCCTGATAAAAGCCGATTTCTCCCGCAAAGGCTGATGCTGTAATTAATTGGCTTGTTGATGTGCATCGGGCAGAGAGCCCCAATTCTGTGCAGAAACACAGGGAGTGCTTGATTTCAGCTAGGACAGGGGCTAACGGTCGCAGGGCCTGGAGAGGGGTTTTCCCGCCGGTCCTCTCCCCTGAAGTCCCCAGTGTGCCTCCTCGGTTCCCTGGGGTCCCCCTGCCTGGAACCAGCTCTCGGGCCCGGCACGCACATCCAGCTCTCGCCATCTCACAGGCAGGGCTCCTCCCCGTTACCCAGGACTGTGGGAAGCAGACAGCCTGGGCGTCACCAAGGGCAGAAGGGGCCAGGGCTCCTTCAAGTCTAGGGAAAGAAGCCCCTTGGGAAGTGGCTTGTGGATTTCCCACATCAAAGCTGTCAACAAAGGCACCACCTCCTCCAGGAAGCCCTTTGTGACTCACAGGGCCCTGTTCCGGAAAAGGGAACCACAGGGCATGCAGGCTGAGTTTGGGAGAGCCTGGGCTCTCACATAGCAGCTGAGTTCCTCGGAAATTGTTCTGAGAATGAAATGTCCTGTAAAGGACTGCATGGTCCTTCAGACCATGTCCTGTGCTCACCGAAGGAAGGCCGGCGGGCGTCATGCCCCCATGTCCATGGCTGGATTTGTGCAAGGGGGGCTGAGGCTTGGAGACACCGTGCAACTTGCCCGAGCCCCCAGGAAGCACATGGTGAGCCGGAGGGGAGCCTGGGTGTCCCGAGCCCTCTTTGACCCCATCCTGAGACTGGCAAGGCTAGGCAGGGAGTCAGGGGTCATGCCCCGGAGCCTCAGGGCATTGGCAGATCCTGGCCAGGGCCTGCACCCCTGCCCAGTTCCGCAGGCCGTGCTAGACCTGCCCCAGAGGGGAACCCGTGTGCAGCAGGAGCCCTTACTCCCCCCCGCTTTCTCTGGACCCGTTGTGGTTCCCTGACTGTCCGTGCCCTCATTTCCCACAGGTGGGGTCTTGTCCTCCAGAGAAACTGCTGGCTGCTGTTTAAGGTCAGAATTGATGGTGCAGAATGCAGGGCAATGAAGGTCAGGCCAGGGCAGTTCCTGCTTGGGTTCCATTGCACTGGGGCCCTGAGGCAGGGAGGAGTGTGTCTGGGTCGCCTGGTGGAGGGGGATGGAGGGTCCTAGCTGGCGCTTGGTCACCTACATCCTCCCCACAGGGGTTGGGTGGGGCTTGGCCTCAGGGGAGATGTACAGTTTGACAGGGACAGGCAGACCCCGGGGAGGAGGGCGCTGACCAGGGTCAGGACCTCTGGGAGGTGTTGGGGGTACAGGGCTCCCAGGGACCCGGGAGCAGTGAGAATGTTCTGGTGGCCGTAGCTTGGTCACTCTGGGCCATTGGAGGCGGGCAGGTGCCTGCCCCAGGAGTGGAGCTGTCGTGTGGGGCCCAGGCCAGGATCCCCGGCCCATGGAGCTGAGTGGACGGAAGCGCCAGGGCCTGGGGTCAGCTCCTCCCCTGGTGCTCCTCCTGTAACAGCAGAAGTTAATGGAATAGAAAAAATATATACAAAAAAGAAAAAGGATCAATAATGCCAGCAATTTGCTCTTTGAAGGGATCCGTGAAACCCATAGAGCTCTGGGGAGTCTGAGCAAGAAAAACGCGAGAAGACGTCAACAGCTGGTGCGAGGAGGGAAAGGGGACGTCTCCACAGACTACAGACAGCGAAATTTAAGAGGAGGAAACGGCACAAGAGAATCTTATAAACCAATTTATGTCAACGGACTAGAAACATTTGAAAAAATGGACAATTTCTTGAAAAATATTCAACAAAACTGACACACAAGAAAGAAAATCTGAAATTCTTCACCTGTGACTGCTAAAGAGATTGAATTTATCATTTGAAACCTTCCCTCAGAGAAACCCCAGGACCGGACAGGCTGCACTGGCAAGTTTTACTTAACATTTGAGGAAGAATTAATGCCAGTTTTATATAAACTCTTCCTGGTGACAGTTGAAGAGGGATTCGCCCCAGCTTGTTCTATCAGGTGAGCAGAACCTAATACACAAACCCCCAAAGCTGAGCATGAGGACGAGAACCTCGCTGATCGATGCAGAGCGAGTGTCTTCAATAAAACAGCAAATTGAACATCGCAGCATTTACCGAGAGCGACACATCGTGCTCAGGCTGTCTTTATCTCAGTACCATACATCGAAACAGGAAATCTATCAGTGGAATTACCCAAAAAAGGTGCGAAAGGAGAAAAGTTATATGATCATCTCAAAAGCTGCATCAGAAATGTTCAATGAAGTTCGACATTAATTTATAATAAAAATATCCATTAGCAAACTTGGAACAGAAGAGAACTCTTTAATATGATGAAGAATATTTTTATCAAACCTGCAAAAGTGTAAAGCTTAGTGGTGACAAAGTGACGCTTCCCCCTCTTGGTGACGAGAAATGAGAAAAGACGCGGATGGTCCAGGAGTGCGGCCCCGGCTGAGCCAGCAAGAGCTAAACAGAAAAGGAAGAAGGGCCTGAGAAGGGAGAAGCAACGCCTTCCTCCTCTGCAGACAGCACGGCTGAGGACGCAGTGAACACGGCAACCGATAGCTGTCGTTAGAATCAACGGGAGAGTTTAGCAAGGTTGTTGTATAAAAAGTAGCAGACAAAATTCAGTTATGTTTCTACAATCCTGCAGCCAACAATCTGAAAATAAAGGTAAAACAAAAGGAGTGTTTGTAAAGCACCAGCAAATGTGAAGTACCTAGAAATGAACCTGACAAAATGGGGGTAAAACCTCTCTTCAAAAGTCTATAAAACACTATTGAGAGAATTTTTTCTAAATTTAAAAGATCATGAAAACCGTGGTCATGGATTGTATGATTTGATATTTTTAAGACTTACATTTTCCCCAAATAAATCTAATATTTTGATGCAATGCCATTCAAAATTCCAAGAGATCTTTCTCTCTCTCTCTGCTTGTGTGTGTGTGACAGAAGGAGGGGATTCTATAGTTTATTTTAAAGTGTAAAGGACCAAGAATGATGACGACAGAAAAGGCGGGGGGAGAAAGAGGGACCCACAGACTGATTACAAAATTTTTTGTGGCGTTATAGCTGAGACAGTATGGTATTGGCAAAACAATAGACACACAGATGAGTGGATTTACACGGAGAGCCCTGAGGCAGACCTGCGCATCCATAGATACTTCACTTATGAAAAGTGCAGCACGAGGAGCCCTGGAGAGCTAATGATCGTAACACATTGCACTGGGACAGTCAGGTGCCCAGGGGAGAACGCACGAACTTGAACTCTGCCCCACACCATACACTCAGATCAGTTCTAGGCAGACTGTAAATCCACATGCGGAGGTCAGAATGATAACGTGTTTAGAAGCGATGTTGGGAGAGGAAACATTTTCTTATCACTCACCCTAAAGGAAAACAGTGACATATTGGATTGCATTAAAATTAAGAACTTCTGTTCGTCAGAAGACATCACTCATGGAGGAAAAAGACAAGCCACAGAAGGCGGAAGGAGATGTGAAAACCGTAATAAACAAAGGGCTTTTATCCCGAATAAATAACAGATCAACAAGGAAAAAGACGGACGATAGAAGGACAGGAGACTCAGATAAACACTTCACCAAGGAGGACGTCCACATGCCCAACGCACGGATGAAAAAACGTTCAGCAGAACTGCTTGTGGTGGAAATGCAAATTAAGGGCCCAAAGACATGTCTCTACGTGTGCACCAGAATGGAGAAAAGATGCAAAGGTTCACAACACAAGTGTGGGCGAGAATTCGGGGCAGTGGGAACGCTCATACACGGCAGCTCGGTGTGTAATTTGCCACACCCCATTTAAAGAACTATTTACTCAATTTAGAGAACTATTTATTCAATCCAGGGGACTATTTGGCAATATCTGGGAATGTTGGAGACGTGCACACCTCAGACTCAAATTCCCCTGCTAGGAACACGTCTCAAGGAAAGGCCCACAGCTGTGCACCACAAGAAGTGTGTAAGAATGGGGTATTGTTTCCCAAACTGGGAAATCCCAACCATCCCTTGCAGGTGAACTGGATGAACCCCGTGGCGTAGTCACGGGGTGGGAAGGTCTGTGCAACAAAGTGAGAAACCCCAGCAACGCCCCGCACGGGTGAAGCTGCCAAACAGCGTGTTCAGCGAAAGAAACCAGAAACAGAAAGATGCGCTGGAGTGACGCCTAACAGATGAGAAAACAGAGGCCAGCAGGGACCGGGGGCCATGCCTCACAGGCCCCAAGGCCACATTCTTTGTGGACATCACCTTCGTGAGGGCAGAGGGATCTGGGGCCGGGAAGGGTAACTAGGGAGCCAGACCACAGTGGAACAACTCCGTGCTAAGGGACAGGGGCTCCCACCCGCAGTGAAGCATCCTCCTCGCACCAGGAAAAGCTCGTGGGAAATGTTCACAGAGCTGGAGAACGTGCATCACCCTCTGATGCCCCTGAGAGAGGCCAACAACCACCAACAGGAACAGAGCCTAAGATGGGAGGAAGCAGAGGAGAGAAAACCCCAAGGATCAGGGACCATAGAGCTCTGAGGTTACGGGGGAACGAGCGAGCACTGGAAGTGTCTCCCTTTTCTTCATTTGTTCTCACTACCCCTCCTCCCTCCCTTGTTCACATACGGTGTCGCAAGGACTCATGGATGCCCTCTCTGGCACAACCATGCTCGGCCTGGGGACAGGCCAGACATCCCGGGGCAGGAGGTCCACCCTGAGCCCCTCTCTCCTCTCCCACATCTTCTGCCCTATCCCTGCCCCTTCAGGCCCTGGTGTGGGACCTCACTCCTTCAGTGGCAGGGCCAGGAGAGGGAGGGGCTGGCTGGAAACTGGTGCGCGATGGGCAGTGGGGTGGGCATCTCCCATCCGCTATCCCGTGGGGATCCAAGGCTCCCCCTGCCCCAAACCAAGTTGGTCAAGATAAGGTGCACACGCCAGGTGGTCAGCGCTGGGGAGGAGGGTCCTGGAACAAAACCAGTCCAACCG